GCGCTTGATGATTGACTTACATTAATCTTCTGGGATTCTGTGTTACCTTTTCCGCTGGATAAGGTAGAATTCCGTGGTCGCCCCAAAATATGCCCAGTGATCTTACGAATATTTGCCCAAATTAAGATTTTACCTATGTATATGTTAACCCTAATTCTATCCCTGACACGTATGCAAAAAACAATACCCTGTCCGGTAGCAAAAGATGCTGGTGGCACCAGGGGTGGCAGTACCACCTTAGCCACCGAAACTGTGTTACCTCCCCTGGTTGGCGGCTGGCGAGGGTATCGCACGTGCTTTCACACGTTGTATGTAGAGAAACGAAGTAAATTAATTTCTAAAGAGTTAATGGATTTATTTTTATTCCGACATTTTTATTACTGCAAACGTTATTTTTAGTGGATAGCCGTATTTGAAGCCATATTTAAATAGACGCCACCGTTGTTGTTGTTTTTTTTTACGTCTATCGGTCTGCGCATTTGCTTATTAAAGATGTACACTCTGGCAGGGTTCGAACTTGCGTTCGACTTTTTTGAAGGACCCACCGTCTGAGCCGGCATGCTTTAGACCGCTCGGCCACAAAGAGCTTCACAGCCGCAGGAAACGTTCTACAAATCGCAGGAAACATTTATTGGTTTGCTGACTCTGTATATCCGAAAGGCAAATAAACAGCATGCGATTCGATCACGTGGTTGGCGCGTGACCTTTGAACTCATTCGGAAACGACCGACCGTGCTTGTGTAAACAAAAAACAAATTATTATTTGTTCCGGTATAAATTAGAGCAACTCTCTCTCTCTCTCTCTCTCTCTCTCTCTTTCTTTCTTTCTTTCTATCTATCTATCTATCTATCTCTTCCACACTCTCTATTCGTCTTTCTTACACTTAATCTTAATATCTTAACTTTCTCTTTCTAATCTTCATCTTTCTCTCTCTTTTTTTCTTCATCTACTCTCTTAGTCTTTCGTAACGTTTCTTGCTATTATTTTCTTTCAACCTATCGCCCTCAGCCTCTCCAAAACATTCGTTTAATCTCTCTCTCTCTCTCTCTCTCTTTCACACACACACAGATTTTTAACCTTCATCACCTTTTCTCTCTCTCTCTCTCTCTCTCTCTCTCTCTTTGTTATTGTCTCCTCACCTTTCGTTTCTCCACTCTTTCTTCCCGTACTATTCCCTTTCTCTCTCTGTCCTTTGCCTTTCATCAACATCCAGATCTTCCAGTTTCGTTACTGACAAAAGTTTTTTTATTACTAACCCCTCTCAAAGCTTAATATAGGGGCAAGAGATTTCAGCTTCTATTACCTAGGTAACTAAGGTAGTAGAGAGAGAGAAAGAGAGAGGGGTGTTAGCGCAAGTCCTTCATTCACCTCTTCATTAAATACAATAGCTTGACAGTGAAGAGATGTCTTGTCAAAACATCTGGTGATGGGACAAATTAGGGTATAAATGAGCTCATGACTTTCCATAGCGCAATGGTCTTAATAGAAGTGAGAATTCAGTTCTTTCATTCCGTTTCTTGTCCTAGAATAATTACGCTATCCCATCTGCTTAGACTATATGCCTGGTACCTTCAGAAGGTGGGCGATTATGGCTCTCCACAACTTCCTATTCTTTATAGTTCTGAACACTTTTTATGCGTTTCCTGTCACTCCCAATCTCTGTTCTACCATCAATATATTCATGCTCGTTACGTATATCACTCACTGTTTCCATCTCGCCCTCTTGCTTCCAATATATCCTGTGAGTGCCAAATTCTCCAAGCCCTATTTCCTCATATATCCAAGAAATGTCAAGTATATATGACCTTTTAGTTACCATTTCTCTTAAAACTACCGCGTTGCTCACATGCTCTGTGCATAGCATCCTCAGGATCCTTTTAATAGAGCCACATCTCTGTTGCCTTAAGTCAGTTCTTCATATATTGTTATATAGGAATAAAGTGTCACTGCCGACACTTGAGTTTGAACATAGGTAACCAGTGAGCAAACACAGGCGATCCCATTATTGAATTAAATAGATCACGTGACCATAGAGGAAACGCATATATAGGAAGTCGCGTGACGTCTAGATTGATTGCTATTTGTCCTCTATCTTCTATTACTATACGGAACACTATTTCTCCTTTGTCACTATTCGGATCGTATTTCTATTCTATCCTCTATTATTATACGGACCGCTATTCTCTACTTCAAGGGTCGGCAACCTACAGCCCGCGGGCCGGATCCGGCCAGCGAACGCATTTTGACCGGCTCGCGAGTCAGTTATCTTTCATGAGACTTATTTTACCAAGTTGCGTTGCCTACGTTTAATGTCAAATAATGTATACATATTTGTTATGACCCTTGGCTACATTAAAAGATAACAGAAGCGAAAGGAACGATAAAATGAAAGAGGCCAGAGAGGGATTGACATACGAGGTAGCAGAAATCTAAAGACAGTTAAACATACGCGCATTATACATACATGACTCATGAATGTGTGGATGATACCGCATGTGTACGTACGTAAGTGTATATGTTTGCAACTATTTGTACTCGTATGTATGGGTATATGTGCTTCGTTTTTGTTTGATGTGTGTGTGTGTGTGGTTCGTTTGTGGAACAATTTTCAATAACAGTTTCAAACCTACACGTCATAATTTCATCCATTTCACTTCGGTTGATTCTTTTTCATTTTGAAGTATTTTGACGTTCCTTGAGGAAACGTAATTTTTGTTAGGTGTTTTTTTAATTTTAGATTTTCTTTTGTTTTTCTGATTTCTCAATGTTTATTTTCATTATGGTTTTAAATATTTAGGTTGACAGGGGTCTGCATATGTAATTTTCCTTAATTTTTCATTAATGGCCTTCGTCCGGCCCGCGACCCGTCATTATAACACGATCCGGCCCGCGGGGTCGAATGAGTTGCCGACCCCTGGTCTACTCTATTTCTCTACACGGGTTACTATTCGAGCGAGTATTATCGAGCAAGTACTATTAGTGCGAGTGATATTCGAAGGCGTCTGACACCAGTATTGTTCAACGGCGTTACTATAGTTGTATCTGTGATTACAAACTCTCTATTACAATGAGCATTACGAACGTGACAACGAGTATTCGTTGGCATCACAAAATGGCAATGAGTGTTCGTTGACATCATTAAATATACTATAAGGCTGAATGAGAATAAAATTAAGTAGGAAAGATCATAGAGGAAATGCATATATATGGGACGTAGCGTGTGTCTAATGGATCGTCATTTCTAGTCTATCCTCTATTACTATTCGGATCACCATTTCTATTCTATCCTCTATACTATACGGACCGCTATTCTGTATACTATTCCCTATACTATTTCTCTAACTGATTACTATTCGGTGGTTGCTTTTCGAGCGGGTATTATCGAGTAAGTACTATTAGTGCGAGTGATATTCGAAGGCGTCTGACACCAGTATTGTTCAACGGCGTTACTATAGTTGTATCTGCGATTACAAAGTCTCTACTACAGCATTACGAAAATGACAGCGAGTTTTCGTTGACATCACAATATATATATTGAGATGTTGAGTGTTTCCCCGTGCGTGTATTGAAATAAGGACAAACACATACGTAGGGAAAAATACTGGTATATCTGAAGAGGTATTTACAACAGAGAGATTAGTAGTCAAACGAACGCAGGTTAGTCAGTAACAATCAGAAAGAGTATAAAGTCCAACTGTATCTTCCGGTAGAGAAACGGAAGTGTGATGGTCACCTGATCTCCCAGAACTCTATAGAACTGTCCTATTAGTAGTAGAGAGATCAGTCCATTCTGATGAGAAGGTGGGTGGCCCCAACAATATGTATAATTAAATTATCCAGCAATTACTGCTATATAGGAGGATTTCTTTTTAAATGATTTCATCCCAAACAATACACTAAAAGCCATTAGGATGCAAGGGGTTACTAAGAGCGAAATAAATAGAGAAGACAATAAAAGAATAGATTTCGAGGAGACAGAAAATGACGATTGACACTGCATGCAATATTTTTTTATGATCATAGCTGTCAAAAGAGTAGGAAACCGGAAAAGATTTCCACAAGCGAACAGTTCGAGGAAAGCAAGCGTCACCAAAGAACTTATGGTTACAATGAGCAATTTCAACAGTGAAATTCCGAGACCTAGCTGCCAATCTAGCACAGCGCTTGGATTCGTCTGGTGAAAGTATCAACGACCAAGGCTTATCAGAACAATTACAGTGAAAATATTTATAGAAGAGGTAAGAGAAATTACACTAGTATTGGCGGGAAAATGACTGAAGCCGAGATACCATGTAAGGGCCGATAACGTTGCAGATTCTTTCTTGGACTTTCTTGAAAATTTAGATATAAAACAGAAGCAAAAAACTAGATGTATTTCTTTCTGAAAAGAAGGAAGAGGAAAGAAAAAATACAGAAAAGATGGAAAAGAGAGACGGAAAGAAATCATACGGAAGAGATTCAAAAGATGAAAGAAAGAAAGAGATTGAAAAGAAAGAAAAAGATGGAAAAGAAGAAAGAATGAAAACAAAAATACAGAAGAGATTCAAAAGATGAAAGAAAGAAAGAGATTGAAAAGAAAGAAAAAGATGGAAAAGAAGAGAGACGGAAAGAAATCATACGGAAGAGATTAAAAAGATGAAAGAAAGAAAAAGATCGAAAAAAAAAGAAAAAACGGGAAGAAGAAAGAAGGAAAGAAAAATACGGAAGAGATAAAAAAGATGAAAGAAAGAAAGGGATCAAAAAGAAAGAAAAATTGGAAAAGAAGAAAGAAGGAATTTAATACAGAAAAGATTTAAAAATGAAAAAAGAGATCGAAAAGAAAGAAAGAGATGGAAAAGAAGAAAGAAAGAAACGGAAGTGATTAAAAAGATGAAAGAAAGAGATCGAAAGAAAGAAAAAGATGGAAAAGAAAGAATTGATTAACAAGAAGACATCGACAATAAGAAGGAAAAAAAGAATGAAAGAATAGTTCGAAAAGAAAGAAGAAAAAAGAAATTGATTAACAAGAAGAAGAGATCAAAGATAAGAAAAAGGAAGAAAGAAGTGTTCCAAATGAAAGAAGGAAAGAAAGACATTGATTGACAAGAAGAGATCGAAAATAAGAAAGAAAGAAAGAAAGAAGAATTCCAAATGAAAGAAAGAAAGAAAGAAAGAAAGAAAGAAAGAAAGTGATTGACAAGAAGATATTGAAAAGAAGAGACCAGGAAAGAAATAAAGAGATGGAAAAGGAGAAAGAAAGAGAATGTAGAAGAGATCGAAAAGGAGAAAGAATAAAGAGTTCGAATAGAAGAAATAAGAAATGAAAAAATACAAAAGAAATGACGAAAGAAAGAAAGAAGAGATCAAAAAGATGAAAGAAAAAAAAAACATCGAATAGAAAGGAAAGGTCGAGTGAAGGAATGAAAAATACAGAAGAGATTGAAAATACGAAGCAAGCAGAATTCGAAAAGATGAAAGAAAGAAAGAAAGAAAGAAAGAAAGAGATCAAAAAGAAAGAAAGAAAGAAAGAAAGGAGAGACCGAAAAGAAGAAAGAAAGAAAGAAAGAAAGAAAGAAAAATTACTGAAGAGACCGAAAAGAAAGAAGAAATCGAAAAGACAGAAAAAAGAGATCGAAAAGAAGAAATAAAGGAAGAAAAATACAGAAGTGATCAGAACAGACGAAAGAAAGAGATTGGAATGAAAGAAAGAACAGACGGAAAATAAGAAAGACAGAAATAAAAAATACAGACGAGATCGAGAAGACGAAAGAAAGAAAGAAAGAAAGAAAGAAAGAAAGATCACTAAAGAGATCGAAAAGAAGAAAAAAGAGACCGAAAAGAAGAAAGAAGAATAGAAAAATGCAGAAGAGATAAAAAAGACGAACGAAAGTGATCGTCAAGAAAGAAAGGAAACGAAAAGAAGAAAGAAGGAAAGAAAAAATACAGAAGAGATCGAAAAGAAGAAAGAAGGAAAGAAAGAGGAAATCGAAAAGAAAAAAGTAAGAAAGAAAGAGGAAATCGAAAAGAAGAAAGAAGGAAAGAAAAAATACAGAAGAAATCGAAAAGAAGAAAGTAAGAAAGAAAGAGGAAATCGAAAAGAAGAAAGAAGGAAAGAAAGAAATGCAAAAGAGATCGAAAAGAAGAAAGAAGGAAAGAAAGAAATGCAAAAGAGATCGAAAAGAAGCAAGAAACAAAGAAATACAGAAGAGATCGAAAAGAAAAAGATGTTGTAAAGAAAGAAAGAATAAATCTTAGCAAATATGGCAGTCTTCCGATTTTAAATGTTGTTTTCTTAAATAAATGCTCACCCCTGACAATGACACTTTTTAATACATTTTTTTCTTAATTCTTTGGAATGAATTCAGGTTCTTTCGGAATTGTTCACCCTTATTTCGAAATAAAAACTGAGACTAAAAGTAAATAGGAAATATTCTTTCACGACAGAGACAAAAAAACAATAAAAAAAAACAACAAAAAAAAAAAACACCAATTGTACAAATGCTGCCGTTTAGTCTTCTTTCGACTTGAAAGACACACAAAAAAATCTCTGATCTCATTTGCCGGTGAAGCTAACGTAATTTCAAATTACTACATTTAGGTTAAGTAAATACAAAAGAGAACTCACCCTTCATATTTTTTTTAATTTTTTGTGATGAAGATGTCTATGTGTATTTGTGTGTGTATATCTGAGAGTGTGTAGGTGTGTATGCGTACTTGTAGGGTAAGGTAAGGTGTGTATGCGTTCGTGTTTATAGAATCGTACATCCAAGTGTTTTTGAATGTATTTTTAAGTTTTATATGTCTGTATGTATTTTTGGCGTATGTATCTGTGCTTATAAGGTTTTAGGTGTTTTAGAACGCCTGTACACATTTGTATGGGTGTGCGTGCGTACTTGCAAGGTATGTGAGTGTATGTCCAAATCCAAATCCAAATCCTGTGGCTTCTCACCACTCCCTGGCTGACCATGTCTTGAGAGGTGTAATCATACTATTTGTCCAATTGCGGGTTGGTGAAGCTATTTAACCGATAGCTGGAGGCTTTGAATTTGCCTTCGCCTGGATCGATTGTTACGCACTCTGTTCTGCTATTTAAAAGAGATAGATTTATACTTTTCTCAATGCAAGTAAGTCAATGTAAGGAACTCGACTGAAATTCGAACACGGCTCTCCACTTCCTTAATTCCTGCCTCTGGTGGTGGGGGGTTTATAAATGTTTACTCGTAGTGTGTAAAGACTCTTAGGGTTTGTTTCTGAGAGCCTTTATGGATGTTTATATGCTTGTAGGATGTGTCTGGAGGCATGGGCGTGTGTAAGTGTGTGGTTATAAGGTATGTAGATTATGTGAAAGCCCGCGTTTATATATTATGGCGGAAAGAAAATCCTTTAGTATTTTTACATTAAAATTTTAAGGGCACTTTTTCAAAACGAATGGTGAAATAAACATTAATATTTGCGTTCTTATTTTTTGCTTTAGGGTAAATTTTGTATAAGCTTACTTTTTTAAAATGATTTAAATCAGACTTATATCAGTCACTGTATACTGCATAATTCGAAAGATGCTCTTTAGCAATGGAAGCGTCAAGCAATATCCACTCTGTTTTTGGAAAATAAGCTTTAAGCTCCCGGGCATGCCAATAGTTGTTTAAACAAGTATAATCGAGAAAATTTTCTACCGAAGATTTCTATCAGTCTGAAGTAAAAGTTCTATCGATATTGAGTTTCTGCAAACTGTAGCTGAGGAAAATCCTTAGCAATCTATACAAGAAGTAGCTAAACAGTTTAATACGATTCATATTTCAATCATAATGCACCTTCATGAACCGTGTAAAAATTTTAAACTTGGTCAATGGATCCCTCATAATTTTTCCAGCTTAATCAAAAATTTGTTCTCTGCTTGTTATTAATGATTACACTTGCTATTAAAACTTTTCTGGGTAAAATAATCATCAGTAACGAAAAGTGGGTTCTATATGAACATATCCAATAAAAATGAAATTGAAAAAATAAAATTGAAAATGGAGTTTCCGTCCCCAAACCAGGACTGCATCCAAAACAAGTTTTGTTCTGTATTTGTTGGGACATAAATAGTGTCGTTTATCATGACCGCTAAACCAAAAACAAAACAGTTAATATGGAGAAGTATTGTTGTCATTTGGATGTATTGCATAGATATTTGTAGAAAACCGTCAACCATTTCGTTAACCGTGAAGCTATGTCTCTCTTACATAATAATGAAAGAGAACAGATTGCTCGAGTCACTCAAAAAATATGGAACTAAATATAGGACTATTGCCAAATCTACCTTGCTCTTCTGGCGCAGTCATATCTGACTATTATCTTTTTCAGATCATTGCAATATATTTTCGACATTATCTATAAACTATTGTTTATAGATTGTGAAGAAGTTAGAACTTATACTCAGTGTTCCTTTGCATCATAAAGCGTTCTCCGGAGGTAACAACAATTTGCCAAATAGATCGAATGATATTATCGATAACGAGGGGAAAGATTACGCTGATTAAACATATCAATTAAGTACAAAGAAACATTTGTTTTCTCTTTTATTTTCAACTGCAACAGGATTTTCTTTCAAACTCAATATTAGTTTGAATTATCTCACGTTTTTGTTTGCTGTGTGTGTATTTGAAAGTGGTTTGCGTGACCAGGCCAAAACTGGTCATGTAGCCTATGCAAAATAACTGCCTGCCACCATCATGGCTGACGCTAGACCCCAGTAGAATAACTCGCTGTACCTTCTTGGCATCACCATTTCCACTGACTTAAAGTGAAGCGACTAAATTGAATCAATAGCTGCATCTACTTCAAGGAAAGTTGGTTTACTGTGGCGTGGCAGACATTTTTCTCGTCAGAGTCCCTCTTGCATATTTACAAATCTACCATTCATCCATACATTGAATACTGTTGCCATATCTGGTCTGGTACTCCTGCTATACATCTTGATATTCTGAACAAAATCCAAAGAAGGATTGGTAATGTAATCGATCCTGATCAAGCATCTCGACTTCAGTCACTTTCTCACCAACCCGACATGGCTTCCCTCTGTCTTTTCTACAAATAGTTTCATGGCAACTGCTCTGATAAGCTTTTGTCCCTAGTACCCCGACTACAAGAATTTAAGCGTGCAACTAGATTGGCGTTTAGGTACCACACTTTTACTGTTGAACTAGCTAAATGCAACTGCCACTTATACTCCAACAGTTTCTTTATCGCACTTCCCACCTGTGTAACTCCCTTCAGTTTGCTTGCTTCCCTGATAACTACAAACTTAAAAAAATTTAAATGCAACATCAATCACCATCTTCAGTGTTCTTGAACCCCGTTAATCTTTTGTCCTTTTCTTAGTCCTCCGTATTCTCAGTTTTATCTTTCCCAAAACGGAGATTGGAAATGAAATGGTAATCTTTATAACATCAACAATATACAGTACTCGCCAGTGCCAGGGTAAAGTAGGTAAACCACTGCTAGTGGTGAACTACTTAGACAGCATATTACCCCCCAACTTACAGTAGTGTCCAACGTATTTATGAGGATTGGGACATACCCATTAGTGTTCATAGGTAAGTGTATATAACAATTATCAACCCCAAAGGGAAAAATGCAGCCCTTGATGAATTCTGTAATTATATATCGACTAGCAACATGGCCCGGCGTTGCCCGTGCTTGATTCAAAAATCATACGACTCATGCAGCAATCGCTATCACTTGACTTAAAATATTTTTGCTCTTCCTTGGCTTTAAAGGAGTGACCTTTGCCGTGCTGATGTTGCTACATGCCTTACTTCTTGCCTATCTCACACTGCGAATTTCTTCTAAGCTCTATACTAAACATTAAATCTGTTACGAAAAAGAACTAAAAAATGAACACAAAACGATCAGCTTTAAAAAAGGACTCGTAACTGGAAAACCGAATGAAAAAATGTTAACAACAAATACTTTTTTTCACAAACCCAGTTCTGCGGAATCAGTATCAACGTTGAATTTAAGCAAGCGAATGAGCCAATTGGTGTAAAGTTCCATGCAGATTTAAATTTTTCCCATTTGTGACGAATGCAGCTATCGCTTTTTTTTGCATGCTAGCATGCTAGTTAACATTCGTGTCAGTCAGCTGTTGGCTCGCATGCTGGCCAATAGAATCTTCCTGCCTATTCGTGGCAGCCAGCTATTGGCTCTCACTCTGGCCAGTAGAAAATGGCCGCAAACTGCATGAAAACTGCCGTAGAAGCATGAAAAAATCGATTATTTCCACTATTGATGGGAGTTGGGAAATGGAAAGTCGGTCTTGGCCTTCCCGCTAACTTGGAGCATGTGCATGTAAATTTTGGTGTAATCTGTCAAAAATTGCGACCTTGTATTCGTTACACACACACACACACACACACACACACACACACACACACACACACACACACACACACACATCCTGCCTTTTATAGATAGAGATCATCCCATTTGACAAAGTGGAAATGCTCCAAACAAAGTCCAACTTCACCAGACAACAATGGAACCAAATAAACGGTGTAAAATTGGACAAAAATATTGTCATAGAAGCTGACAAAGGAAGCGCAGTTGTTATGATGGATACAAAACAATAGACAAGAATCATACAAAATATTCTACAGAACGATACCTGGTTCATTCCGTGGGATGAAAATCCTGATAAAGTAAGGACATTCCAAGCGTTCATTAATAATATAAATCTTAGCATCCAATTTACTATGGAGTACAGCAACAAAAAAGCTTCCCCTTTTAGGCATATTGATAACAAAAAGAAACGCTAAACTAGAAACCGACATATATTTTAAACCTACTGACTCACAACAGTAACTCCTTTTTACATCTTCCCATCCGGAACACACTCGTATCAACATCCTACTCAACCTAGCCAAGCGAATCTGTACAGTAGTCACAAAACAACAAGAGACTCCAGTCTAGAAGAGCTGGAAAAATACTCATCAAGAGAAAATACCCTCAATGTTTAATCAACAATACTTGAAAAAGTAAAAACAAATTAATATCCACACAATACGAGAAAAAAAAAAAGAAAAAAAAAAGGTCATTCTTTATATCTCAACTTTCAACCCAAAGAATACAGAAATCTACAGATACAACTAAATCTACCAATCTTACTAAAGGACAAAAAATAAAAATAAAAAGTAAGCGACAACTAAAATCGCTAAAAAAAAGATACTGCCGAGTACAAAACTGCAGACCACAACCCCTATGCGGATTATGCACCTACCTATTATAAGGCTACGAATTTCACTTCCAAGATGGATCCAAATTAAAAATTAAAAATGATTTCTCGTGCAACTCAGAGAATTTAATATACATAACAACACTCAAAGGTTGCCACGAACATTACATTGACCAAACCGGTCAAACACTCTGACAAAGGATAACATTTCATCAACAACAAAGGAGGGGTCCTCACACCAGAAAAATACTCCTTAGCCAACATATAGAGGAATGCAGAGGAATAGAGGAATTTATCTGCCAAATTTTAATATCTTCCCATTCTATCAATGCGACTACAAAA